CCACTGCAGATGCCAAGTGTAGCTTTGTTGTGGGAAATATCCGGTACTGCCAGTTCATTACCATGAACAAGTCATGAGTGACTTGTGTCACCCAGACCAGCCATTACTGTGAGGGCTGTGTGTGCAATACAAGGGAGGCAGATACAAATCACACCCAAAAAATGCGTGTATATTATATTTAAAGCAGGATTTTCTGTTGCCTTTCTGACACCAGGGCCTTTGTAAAGGTCTTGGCATGTCGGGATGTTTTCTCTATGCCTCTGGGTTAGAAAAAGGTTTTTCATGTGATATCTGTGTCCTTGGGCCCAATGAGCCTGGGATGCCAGCTGGCATTGCTGCTAGTGGATGTTTGGAAGCAGTGGGGGTGTGGCAGAGGGTGAAGAGGGCATAGTTTGGGTAGGCAGGTCCTTGGTGTGTAGGTCATCAGAACCGCTGTCCCCATGGTCCCCCAGGGCCACCGTGATGAGTAATGCCAGGAGGGGAGCTCAGGTGGGATGCAGTTACACTGGGACTCCCCGAAGAGCAGAGGGATTGGGGTGGGAGTGGCAGAGACACACTGCGAGTACCCGGGACACATCGAGACCCCCAGGGCTATGCCAAGGGAGGGTCAGGGGAGCACGGTGGGGGCGAGCCGCCCTGGGTAGGGCACGGGGAACACCGGGGCTCCCCAGCGCAACCAGGGCTCTGGCCAGAGGGGCCGGGGTGCCCCGGGGACACACCGGGAGCTCTCCGCAGCCGCGCCGCTGCCCGGTGCGGGAGGGGAGCCCCGCCTCCGCCGCCCGTCGGGGGTTTCACGGGTTTCCGTGGTAACGAGTGCGGGGCGGAGCTCGGCGCTTCCGTTACCGAAGTGCCCGGGAAGGCGGGGACGGGCCGGGGCTGGTGCCGGGTGCCCCCGCTGCTGCTGCCGCCCCGCGCCCGGTGAGTGGCCCCGCGGGGCGGCACCGGCACCGCCGGCACAGGGGAGCCGGGCTGGACCGGGCAGAACCGGGGCTCCCTTTGTCTGCGGGCTGGGAGCGCTGGCACGGAGCGCCCGGGGCGCGGCTGGAGCGCGGCTCCCCGTTAGCCCGCGGCGGGCGGGGCCACCGGGACCGGGGCTGCGAGGACCGGGGCTGCGCCTCCTGCTCGCTGGCACCGGGACCGCCCCGCTGCGGGTCCCGCACGCCCGGAGCCGCTAGTCGGGAGAACAAGGGACCCCACGGTGGGCTGGGCGTTCTGTTCCTCGCCGAAGCGGCCCCGGTGAGGTGCGGTGAGCGCGGTGCGGTGTGCGGGGAGCGGAGCGGGCGGTGCCGTGCGGAGCGGTGTGCGGTGCGGAGCTATGTGTGCGGGGAGCGAAGCTGTGTGTGCGGTGCGGAGCGGTGTGTGCGGAGCGGTGTGCGGGGAGCGGAGCGGTGTGCAGTGCGGAGCGGTGTGTGCGGTGCGGAGTGGTGTGCGGGGAGCGGAGCGGTGTGTGCAGTGGGGAGCGGTGTGTGCAGTGGGGAGCGGTGTGCGGGGAGCGGAGCTGTGTGCGCGGTGCAGTGCAGCGCATTGTGTGCGCTGAGATGCGGTGGGTGCGGTGCCGCCCGGGCGCAGGGCTGCCCGTGGTCCCGGAGTTCCTAACTCCCTAAAGTCAGTCCCAGCCCGAGGTTAGGAGGGGCCTGGAGAGGCTTCAGGAATGAGTAAATTAATTACAGACACCGTTTATGTCACATCCGCCGGGAGCACGGAGAGAGCCTGGGGCTGTCGCCTTTTCGGGAGCAAAAAACGGGATTGATGCAACTTCCTGCGGGTTTCGGGAGTCGGAGCGTCCTGTTTTGCTCCAGAACGTCCCACTGGGATTTACAGCTGGACACTGAGACCGGCTGAGATGTCCGTCCTTGCGCTTCTCCGCAGAGGTGCTGCTGTGCTCGGGACCCCCGTGCCATGATCACATCCCGCACCGCCTGGGATCTGGGATCCGGGCCCGCCGCCGGAGCCGCCTGGAAGACGAAGGACCTTGCCCCGAACGGTGAGTACAGCACGGTGGCTTGTCCTTGCCCCTTGGGGCTCAGCCTGCCGCGCTCACGCCCTGCTCATTGGGGAAGGAGAGGCTGGGAACAGGCCAGCCTGCATTTTTCACATTTCTTTCCGGATGAAGGTCAAGATTTGAGAAACAGGGACTCAGAAGCAGGCACAAAGCCTTGGCCAGCCTGCTGGTGAGAAGAGAGGGCTGCCTCCACCTCCCTACTGGCCCTTCCGAGTGGAAAACTTAGGAAGAAAGGTTAAAATTTAACATGTAAGATAGAAAACAGAGTGATCTGCATGGCTGGGTGAATGTGGGGCCTTTGCCTCTTTCCAGCCTTGGCTCCCTGGAAGGGCTCCTTATCCCTCCCTGGCGCTTGGACCCCATTGGTGAGTTTAGTCAGAGTTTTCTTCTGTGGAGGCTGAGCTGCTTTGCAGGCAGGCGGGCAGCTGCTTGCCCCAACCTGCAGCCGTTTGTTGGGTAACAGCCCTTCCCACCTCCCTCACCAATGGTGCTGAATGGGTTTTGGCAAAGGTGGAGGCTGAACCCCCCTGTTTGGACTTTTTTTGCTCTTGGCTTCAGCATTTGCCATCCCTCTGTGCTGGCAGCCGCTTCTCTGGGTACAGCTTCTTCTCTGGCGCTTGGGTCAGTCCAGCCAAATGCTGATTGGCATGAAAGCCCCCCAAAACAGGGTTTTTCAGCACTTTCTGTGCCCAAGGGCTGCTGCTGCCCGTGCCGGGATGGGGAACTCATTGCCTGTTATCCAGGCAATCGTCAGCACTTTGGAAACGCTCAATTTTCATGGCGCGCGCAAAATGTTATGGATAATTAGAGGCTGGGAAGAAGTCCAGAGTGATGGGCTAACTTCATAAGGGCACATCTCCCTCCAGACATTGCTTCCACCTCTGTCCCAACTTCCTCCGGATGGTTTTAGGGGAAAAGAGCTGCATTATTGAGGTTTGATTTGTGAGCAATTGATTTTTCCCTGCCAGCTGGGGAAGAGATTTGGGGGCCCGCGATGGTGGCAGTGCTTGTGGCAGACAGGTGCGGGGGCACAGGGTCCCCGAGCAGTGGGATGTAGCCCTCGCCAGCTGCTCTTCCTGTAGCAGAGGAGGATGCAGCCGTGGGAGAAGGCTCCTTGAGTTGCTATTTCCTTCTGTGTGGCTCAGCAGGACAGGGAAGTGCTGCTCTGGCTGCTTTTGGGTTTGGCTGCCTGACAAATGAAGGAAATATTTGGGGGCAGTGGAGGGAGGTGACGCTGTCAGGGTCCGTCTGTCTGGTTTTGGTGATGCAAGCTGGCTTTGGCAGCTTTTCCGAGATAGGATCGCCGGAAGTGCAGCAGCTTGGCAAGGGGTAGAGCTGGGATATCCCTGGTGGGGGGACAGATCTGGTCCTGCAGAGGCCAGACGAAAGCTACACTCTGAATCCTCATTACTAGTCATTGGCAAGCAGTCTCCGCCCCCCGGAGGGCTAATTTTTCTAATTAACATAATTAACATTTTAAATAAAAGTCATGCACTGTCTCTGCCACACCGGTGCGGTGGCAGCAGCAGGGAGGAGGAGGAGGAGGGTTTGCTGAGCTGGCCAAAGGCTGTGTCTGTGCTGGGCTCCCAGGTGGATCCAGTGATGCTCTTTGCTCCATCTCAGGCCGTGGGCAGGACAGGCTCAGCACTGGGAGCGGAGCAGGTGCCTCTCCCCGGGCTCCTCTGCTACCAGCACTGCTTCACCACAAAATCCTCAGCGTGAGCTGGCCGGACACTGCAAACCCCCGTGGGCTCTGCCGGGCTCTCCAGGTGAGGAACGTTGAGCCAGCCATGGCATGTATGGGGAGGGCAGTTTTAGGGTGATGGGGAGGATGCCCTGCACCCATCTGGGCCATCCAGGTGGGAGCCAACTGGTTTCCTCCCTCACCACAACCAGTTTGGGTCTGGACCCCAGCAGCGTTTGCCTCCAGCAGAGCTGCTGCCTGGGTGGGGAGGGAAAAGCATCTCTGGGGAATTGAAAGGCATCAAAAATGGGAAGCAGTGTTCATAACAGAATAGCATTTTCTGGGTCACTTATGGTCATGTTGGCAGGAGAGCTCAAGGCAGAAGTGTGATAAGAAAGTGCAGTGCTGTGAGGTGGTGTTTGCCAGTGGGATGGAGGAGAAGGAGGTGGAAGGGTGCCATGGCCAAGGACAGTGTCGGGACACCATGTACTGGTGTAGCTGCCACTAGTTCATTCCAGGCTTCAGGCAAATCATTCAAATTTCCCCTCTTTGAAAAGAAGGAAAACACCTTCTTATCACACACCAGCCTCAATGAATTCCCTTCGGCAAAACCCTTCTGGAGTCTCAGATGTAGAGGCACCGCAGACACGCGGCTTCTCCAGGAGGATGCTGCCACCTCCTTCCAAATTACTCCCAAATTACTGACATGTACCAAGTATTTGCCCCTCTGCTGGAGTGAGGTTTCCCCAGCATCACTGGGGATGATGCCACAGGCTCTGAGATAAGATTTAAGAAAGAAAAGGGCATTATTGAGCAGGGTGAGCTTTACTGATCATCCCCTTTCATAGCAGCCTTATGAAAGCTCCTTTCTGATTTCTTCTGATTTTTTTGGAGCTAGGCTCCATCCCACAGGGCATGAGCCATGCCTGCAAGTCAAAGCCTCTTTCTTTTTAAGGCCACAGAGAGAAAAATAGGAGATATTCAGTATAACCGTGTGGCCAAGCTGAGAGAAGTTTTTTATGTGGAGAATTAAAACATGATAAGTTCATTGTGGCAGCTTCCCAACACAGAGCTCCCTTGGAGGGAGGGTTTCCCCAAGCTCCACTGTTCTGTCTTCTGCACTTCCCGCCCCGCTCACTCCTCCTGGCCAGCCCTGCCAGCTGCTGGCACCGTGTCCATCGCGGTGTGGGCGGGCACTGTCTCAGCTCCCTGGCCCGTTTGTGCTCACAGGCCCTGCGGGACTCGAGGTGCAGGCGGCGGGAGGAGCCGCAGCCCCGCGCCCCGACAGCGGCCACGGAGGAGCCGCCTGCAGCCCCCGGTGAGCCAGCGGCTACCACAGCACTGCAGGCAGCCCCCAGCATGAACCTGGAGAAAGCAGGTACGGGAGAGCAGGGATGCAGTGCTGGGTGCTCAGGGGATGGGATGGGATGGGATGGGATGGGATGGGATGGGATGGGATGGGATGGGGGCTTGGTATCTGCCAGTGGGTGTCGAGGAAACCTCTCCTCTTTTGGGGTGCACATGGATGTGTGGCTGCGCTCACTGTGGGTCACAGTGGAAATCCAACACCAGCCAGCTGCTGGCTGGTGACAGGGACTGATGAATTATTGAGCTGGATGAACAGAGCAGGTGAGCTCTGAAGAACTCACTGCTGTTTCCTCCTTCTTAAGGAAAATGTAACGTATATGGAAACATTTGCAGCATGCATGGCTGTGCCAGGGTGGGGAAATCCCAGGGTTTCCTGTCTTTCTCCATCAGGATTGAATTGTGTGAGCTTGTCAGGGCATATCTCGGGAGCTGCTCCTGGCCTGATCCCCAGCTGCATCCCAGAGCAGCTCCTGAGGTGGGGTAGTGGCTGGGAAGAGGCAGGGATGCCGGAGAAAGGGAGTCTGATTGGCAGTGGTAATAGGGCAGAGCTGAGGTATCTTTCCAAATGGCTTTCTGAATTTTGCAAATTTTTGCATTTTGGAAAGCAGGAGGGTCACTGTGCCCTGCCTGCCACACTCATACCATGCATGACCCCCAGCACATCTGCCCAGGGGGAGATGTAACACAGAGCTGGTTGGCATCTCCTCTCCCATGGATGCTGTCACAGGAAGAAGGTGCTGGAGTGTGGAGGAAGGCATGATCTGTGGAGGATTTCCCTGCCTGGCAGTTTGACTTGCAGCTGAGTGTTGAGGCTCTCAGCCTGGCTCTGCCTTGGGTCCCAGCCCAGGATTAGTGTGAATGATGTGTGCAGACATGCAGTGTGTCCAGAGGAGCCTGGTGCTTCCTGTAATTTTGTCTTATCTCTGCACACTTCCCAGGGGGTGAAAGCTGGCATTCCTGTCAACTTTGGAGATTTCAGAGTGGATTTTTTTGGTTTTTGTTTGGGTTTTTTGTGTATTGATTTTAAAGAGAATACCATGGTCCCCTGCTGAGCTGGGCTGAGCTTTCAGCATGGAAAGAAAGAAAAGCCAGCACCTGACAGTGCTCTTTTGGAGTATCCAGCCCATGGCAGGAAGACAAAACCTGGTGATAGCTTTTGCAACCACTGCCAGATAAGTCCCAGGGAGTGCAGTTAGCAGCAGAGCTGTGGTTTGGTCCCAGCATTTCATCTTTCTGCGTGTTACACTGCCTCCTTAATTCCATTTAGGGCTAGAAAATCTGACTCAGAGACAAAAAAGTCTTTCTTCTTGCATTCGGGACGTTTCCCATGAAGCAGGCAGCATCTTCCCGCAGGCAGCACAGTGATTCCCAGCACCAGCTCCTGCCTGAGAAACCTCAGGTTTCTGGTGGCAGCAGATGAAATCCACAGCAGGCAGGGAAGGGCGCCGGGCAGCCGGGATCCTGACCATCAGTCCTGCCACCACAGTGCCTCATCCCCACGTTGGGAATGAGTCACGCCAGCTCATTGCTTCTTGGGAACTACCAGGTCATTTGGTAGGCTCTGATGTACGGCCAGGTTGGCTTCTGTCAGCACTGGTGGCTCTATTAACATGCAGAAAGTGATGTTTAAAATAATACTAGGAAGGTTAGAAAGCCAAACACACAGAGATTAGGCAATATGGCCATTCAGGGTACCTGTATAATTTAAATTTTGCTTCCATTATGCTTGTGTGTAATGACGCAGACTTTAATGACATGATCACACACTGCTTTTCCACCGGCACCTGCTCATTCAGAAGAAAGGATGCCGGGGTGAATCAGCGTCGTGCTGAGGGCGGTTGTTATCTGAGCGAGGCAGCAGCATTTTGGTGTGTGGTGGGGCTGGGGCACGGTGCAGTGCTGTGGGCAGGTGCTCTGTGTTGTGGCCTGGGATGCTCTGCTGGCACGGGCAGATCCCTTTGGCTCCCACCCAGCTGGACCCCACTGTTAGCCAGGCCTGCTAACAGTGCCTCGGCACTCAGGATGCACCTCTGATACACCACTGTGCTCTCTGGGACTTGTGCAAATCCAGCTTGCTGTGTTCCCATCTCCAGCTCAGCCCCTGGGGACTCCCCATGGCTGGCATTTTGCTCCCCAGTGCGGTGCTGTGTCCTGACCAGCCCCATCTTTGCTCACGCTGCAGGAGGGAGGCTCTGTGGTGGGAAACGCTCCAGCCTGCCCGCAGCCCGGCCCTTCCCCGTGATCCAGGAGGTGATGGCCTCCATGGCACATCTGCAGAAGGAGAAGCTGCGGCTGCAGGAGGAGCTGCTGGAGCTGCAGGAGAAGCTTGCTGCCCAGGAGAACAATGAGCTCTCCCTCTCTTTCCAGCTGCAAGGACAGGTATGGTGGGGACAGGGACACAAGCGGGTCCATCAGGGTCTTCAGCCTCAGGGTGTGGCTTGGCTGGAGCACTGTGGCGTGCAGTTAGTGATGGCTGCACTTGGAAGGAGTGTAGGATCTCCATCATTGAGCATTTTCTTCTCTGGGTGTTCCTGAGCACTGGCTTTGGCTGTGCCTCCCTTGGAATGCTTGCAGTCCCCACTGACACTGCAATAGTGCTGACAAGGGTGTGTGGCTCTGTGGACATAACATGGCCGGGGGGGCTTTGGGCATCAGGATGCAGCTCTGCACCAGTCATCCATCCATCCATCCACTCAGCACAGGATGGCTGCCACGGGGTCAGCTCGTTAGCAGTTTAAGCCTAGCAGTTTAATTTAGTGACTTTCAGCAGAAGGCACAGAATTGTCTGATGAAGGGACAGGTTTTGGCCGCTGTGGCACAGCCCCCCAGAACCATCTCCTGCACTGATGCAGGCACATCCTCAGCACGAGTACTTGGGTCGTCTCAGGGACATGGAAATGTTGGCTGCTCGTAAAGAGATTTGCATGTGGCTGTTGTGGAAGCTGTTACAGTCAGGTTCTGCTTGTTCCACGGGTGTCAAAAAGGAGGAGGTAATTGTCCTGCATTTGGTTGGCATGCTCTGCATGACACAAGTGTGAGCACAGCGGGCTCTGGCCCTGTGCTGGCCAGTTCGGCAGCGAGCGCAGCCGACGCCGGCTGGAGCCAAGACTGGCCCAAACTTCCAAAGCTTTGGGATGGCCGGGCCACGGCTCGAGCCAGGTCCAGCTGCCAAGGAGTCCCTGTCACGTCCAGAGAGCAGGATGCAGCTGGAGATGCCCGAGCAGGTAGGGGATGGGACATTGACATTTTTGGGCACCACGGCACAGGGAATGGTGGGCAGGCTCCGGCGTGTGCGCTGACTGATTGGGCTGGCGGTTTTCCCGGAACAAGCCACAACTCTTTTCTTCTCAATGCCTCCCCTCCCTTAAAAATACTTATAAAAATAGCTTAATAATCTCCCTCAGTGGATGTGGAAATGGGGTTTTCCCACTCAAACGCTCAGCGCTCACTCGGCTCCCAGCCAGAGCTGGGGAGACTTGCTGTGGAAGGAGGGGGATCCTGATCCTGGCTGGGAGCAGCCACCTTTCCCCAGCTGTATCTGGGGAGCTCCAGCCGTGCTCCAGCTCCCAGCCCTGCCGAGCACAGGGCACACAGAGGGGCTGCCCACACTGCTGCCATCTCTGCAAGGGCGCGGCTGAATAATTTACCAGATTAATTACAGCCCCATGTCAGCACATCTGCATTGGTTATTAATCAGCAGTTCCTAAATTATGGTCCACGGAGGGCCAGGTGCTTGCTAGTTATTGGGATGGGGCAATACCCAGGCGTGTCCCAGAGAGGGGTTTGGCGGCTTTCTCAAGTGGGGAAACTGGGAGCTGGGCTGGGATCTGGGAGATGGTGGTCGAGCGAGGGACAGAGCAGGTGGGCAAACCCCACTACAGCACAGCCCATGAGACTGCTGGCTTCACCAAGCACTCACTGCTGCTGTTTATTCCAATAACTGCAGAAAAAATGTTGAGAATTTTTGAAATTCACTGGTTTTGCAGGGAGGGCAGTCTGGTCTCATGACATGGGCAGATGCCCAGATGGGGGTTGATGGAGAACATCTTCCCATGGGACTCAGACACGTGGCCTTCTTGAAGAGCTCTTGTTCTCTCTTTGTACCAAGATAACTTTCCTAGAAAGAAAAATAGAGAAGGTAGAGAAAAGCTGGTTGTGAGGGCAGCACAAGGCACCTCTGGCTCTTCAAACACAGTTATTAGTAGGTTTGTTTTCTCCCTTCTCCAAAGATGATACCTTTTTATTTTTATAATATTGGTTTCTGCTAGTGCTCAACATGGACAAATTATACCCACGGTTGAACAAGGTCAAAGCAAAGCTTTCATTAATGCTCATTTAAATCAGCTCGTGTGAATCAGGCGCTCAGAGCCAGGTGGAAAATTAAAGCACAACAAAAGTGTGAGGCAGACTGGACGTTGGTGGCTGGGGCGGCACTGCAGGGTCTCCTCCGAAAGCTGCAGAGGTGCTCCTGCTTAACCCAGTCTGTGCTGACAGGTGGAAACTATGAAGGAAAAGCTCCTGGAGCAGGCACAGGAGATCAGCCGGCTGCGCTCGGAGCTGGTGAGCTGCCGCCGGGATGGGACTGAGCCACCCTTGCCCTGAGGGATGCTGGAGCTCTGGGTCACTGAGGAGGGAGGGCGGGTGGGGATGGATTAAACCTCTCTAGGGTCACAGTTTGGACTGTGCAAGCCAAACTGAGGAACACAAGTGTGGGATTTTCTGTCCAATGCGATGTCGCACTGGTGACCCTGGGGCTGTCACCCTGTGGTGGGAAGCGAGAGCCTGTCTGTGGGTTGGGGCTCCCTGGGGCAGCAGGAGGCTCGTCAATGCAGCAGGCTGAGTGATTCCCAATGGGACAGGCAGGGACTCTCTGGGAATGGCACACTGTATCCCCCATACAGCGGGCTGGGGCTCTCTGGGGCACGTGGAGATTCCATGTCCTCTCCCATTCCATGTCCTCTCTCCACTCCCGGATAGGGCGGCACGGATGCAGAGAAGCACCGGGACCTGCTGGCGGCCGAGAACGAGCGCCTGCGGCAGGAGATGAAAGCGTGCGAGGGGGAGCTGCGGGAGCTGCAGCGGCAGCAGCAGCAGGCACCGTGCCGGGACTGCCCCCACCTGCAGGTGAGTCCCCGGGGGTGGCAGTGGTGGCGGCAGGGTGACTGGCACCTATGGGTGGGTGACAAAGCCTTGGCTGTCCTGTGCTTTGCCAGGAGAACGCCAAGCTGCAGGAGCAGCTGTCCCAGCTGCAGCAGGAGGCAGAGGAGACCCGGGCCAAGCTGGTGGAGCTGGACCTGGAGGTGCAGCAGAAGACGAACCGCTTGGCTGAGGTGGAGCTGCGGCTCAAGGACTCCCTGGCTGAGAGAGCTGAGGAGGAGGAGCGGCTCAGTCGGCGGCTGCGGGACAGCCAGGAGACCATCGCCAGCCTCAAGTCCCAGCCCCAGCAGATAAAGGTGAGCTCTCCATTTTTCCTGGTTGGGGTGGGTGCCTTACAGTGCCCAGTAAGTGCCTTGCAAGTACCGCCTGTCTCTCTGCCCTGAGCACGTCAGCACAGCACCATGATTTCCTAAATTATCTCCCCCTGGGCCAGCAAGAGCTCCATCCCAGGCCCTTCAGGTGCTGTTTCCCCAGTACACCCCATCTGTGGTGCTTTCCCCTGCAGTACATCATCAAGACGGTGGAGGTGGAGTCAGCCAAGGCAAAACAAGCCCTGTGCGAGACCCAGTCCCGAAACCAGTACCTGCTGGAGCAGGTGGGGATGCAGAAGCAGGTGCTGAAGGAGATGGAGCAGCAGCTGCAGAGCTCCCAGAAGACAGAGGCTCAGCTCCGAGCTCAGGTCTGAATGCGATAGGTGTAAATCAGAACCCCCCCACATTCTCTGCCTGCCTGGTGCTTGCCAGGTGACACAGTCTGGCAGCAGGTGGGCACTCACTGGGTGTCATCCCCCACTTGCTCCTCTCCCAGATCATGATGTACGAGGCTGAGCTGGAGCGAGCCCATGGGCAGATGCTGGAGGAGATGCAGGCGATGGAGGAGGAGAAGAACCATGCCATTGAAGAGGCATTTTCCCGTGCCCAGGTGGAGATGAAGGCGGTGCATGAGAACCTAGCAGGTGAGGGGGTGCAAGGGGCTCGCAGGGTTGCCTGACTGGTGTTGGGGTGTCATCAGCTGCCCCTCACCCTGCCTGGTGGCTGCAGGTGTCCGGACCAACCTGCTGACGCTGCAGCCGGCGCTGCGCACCCTCACCCATGACTACAACAGCCTGAAGCGTCAGGTCCGCGACTTCCCCCTGCTGCTCCAGGAGACCCTGCGCAGCGCCAGGGCCGAGGTGAGCCCCCCAGGACCACCACCCTGCACCCCTCCATGCGGGGTGGAAGTGCTGGGGAGTCACTGAGCCGCTGGTCTCCACTGTCCCCAGATCAGCCAGGCCATCGAGGAGGTGCACAGCACCAACCGGGAGCTGCTGCGCAAGTACCGGCGGGAGCTGCAGCTCCGCAAGAAGTGTCACAACGAGCTGGTGCGGCTCAAAGGTGTGCGGGGCGTGGTGTCCCTGAGGGGGGACAGGAGGGACAGGGGAGCGTCCCCATAAGGTGGCTGGGTTGGCTGCAGGATGCTTCAGCCCACCCGGTGTTTGATAGCTGACTCCCTGCTTCTCTCCCCCAAGGAAACATCCGTGTTTTTGGGCGAGTCCGCCCCATCACAAAAGAGGATGGAGAGGGCCCCGAGGCAGCCAATGCTGTGACCTTCGATGCTGACGATGATGCTGTCCTGCACCTCCTGCACAAGGGGAAGCAGGTGTCCTTTGAGCTGGATAAGGTCTTCCCCCCACAAGCGTCCCAGGAGGAGGTGGGTGCTACTGTCCACACTGCTGGTGTGGTGGGGGGAGACAGCCACCTTCTCCTCACTCTCCCCTGTCTCCCCCAGGTGTTTCAGGAGGTTCAAGCCCTGGTCACCTCCTGCATTGATGGCTACAATGTCTGCATCTTCGCCTATGGGCAGACAGGGGCAGGGAAAACCTACACAATGGAGGTGAATTTGCTTGGCTTCGTTTCCATCTTCTTCCTCAGCTCCCCACCCTGTAGTGCCCAGTCTCATCACCCAGTGATGGTCACTGCTGCTCTACAACATCCCCCTGGGCTTTGCTTCTGCTCAGAAAAATACAGAATAAAATGCCAAAGGGTGTTTATTCCCTGTTTGTCACTCCAATCCTTCAGGGGACGGCAGCAAACCCAGGGATCAACCAGCGGGCCCTGCAGCTCCTCTTCTCCGAGGTGCGGGGCAAAGCGGCCGACTGGGACTACACCATCACTGTCAGCGCTGCAGAGATCTACAACGAGGCACTCAGGTACGGCCAGGGGGAAGAAGCTTTTTTGGACATCACCCCATGCTGCTCTCCCCTACATCTCTCCACCCCTGCCTAGGCCTCACAGCTTGTCCCAGGGCCCTGGGCACTGCATTTGGCCCTGCAAGGATTTATTTTTAATTTATTTGGTGCACACTGCTCTTCCCAGGAGCTCCATTGCTTACACAGGCTCCCAGCTGTGCCATCACTCCCACTCTCTGGCCCTAATGCAGTGGTGGGGGCATCCCCTTCTCCCCCTTCCCCTGCCCACAGACACTATATTTAGGAATTTGTAACTGGGAGCTGAAAGCATGAGAAATATTTTCCTTCCTAGTCCAGCCACAGGAGGGGAGGAGCCTGGGAGCACATCCATGAGAATAACCAGGAACAGGAATGGGAGCGTGGTCTGAGTTGGGTGAGAGGAGGCACATGGGAGCCAAGAGAGTTGAGGTCTATAAATAGGCTGTGCAGTTTTCCTGGGAAGAGAGGGCTGCTCTGGCAGCACTGGCACACAGCCCTGAGCCACAGAATGGATGCCAGCAACCCCTGGGATGGTAATGATAACGAGTGACCCTTTGCCCAGGGACTTGCTGGGGAAGGAGCCACAGGAGAAGCTGGAGATCAAACTGTGCCCTGATGGCAGCGGGCAGCTCTACGTGCCTGGGCTCACCGAGTTCAGAGTGCAGAGTGTGGAAGACATCAATAAGGTGTGGGGAGATGGGGGCAGTGGACACAAGAGGGTGGTAGCAGGGGTGCAGTGAACTGGGGAGGGGTCTTTGGAGTGTGACTCCTGGATTTGGGAGCATTTCTGAAGCCATGGGGAGCAACAGAGACCAAAATAGGTCCCTGGGTGTGATATGACAGTCGCTGTCACTGGGATGAGCCACAGGGGGTTAAAAATAAAATGTGGGGCCCAGAGAGTTCCTGAGGGATTAGTGGGATGCGGCTGTCACCGCAGTGCCCTGCCTGTCACCCCCTGCCTTTGGTGCATAACCCAGGCTGAGACCTGACCAAGGTCATTACCCTGATGGGCCAGGCACCCCATGGGGGGCTGATGCTCAGGTTACATCCCTGGCCATCCCTGGATCACAGGGGATTTGTGGTGGGACTGGGCAGGTTGGCCTCACCCCCTCAACTCCCTGGGCTCCCCCAGGTCTTTGAGTTTGGCCACATCAAGCGGGTGACAGAGTGCACCAACCTGAACGAGCACAGCTCTCGCTCCCACGCCCTCCTCATCGTCACCGTCCGCGGCCTCGACCGCAGCACAGGGCTCCGCACCACAGGTGGGTGTCACAGCAAACCCTCACCGAGGCACCTGGTGTGGCATCCCAGGGCTGCGTAGGGCTGGGTGCTGATGCCAGCGGCGGGCTTTGGCTGTGTGTCCTCAGGGAAGCTGAACCTGGTGGACCTGGCAGGCTCGGAGCGGGTCGGGCGCTCGGGCGCGGAGGGCAGCCGGCTCCGCGAGGCGCAGCACATCAACAAGTCCCTGTCGGCCCTGGGCGATGTCATCTACGCCCTGCGCTCCCGGCAGGGCCACGTGCCCTTCCGCAACTCCAAGCTGACCTACCTGCTGCAGGACTCGCTCAGCGGCGACAGCAAGACCCTGATGATGGTGCAGGTAGGGGCTGGGCACCCAGTGCCTGTATCCCCACAGCCAGCCAGTGTGATTTCTGAGTCCCTCCTCAGAAATCCTCCCCAGTGCTGAGGCAGGTGCTGGGCTGGAGTCAAGGGATGGGGCTCGCCCATGGGACATCTTCCATTCTGCAGTCATGATGCCAGCTGCAGCTTTCTCCCTGTCTCTGCACCCTAGACGAGGCCAAGGAATGGGGAATTCACTCAGAGGTCCATGATCCTGCCCTTCCTGCCTGCACATGGATGCTATCCCTACGGGCATGATCTCTTCATGTATTGTCATCTCCCTACGCCCTCTTTTCCTGGGAGGATTTTAAGCTCTGGCAGCTTCTCCACCTCTGCCCAGTGACCCCCACGCTCCCAGCTGCTGGCACCCACACTGAGCCCCGGGGGGGCTGCCTGAGCCTCTGCACCTGCCACAGCTATTCCCAGCTGCTCCTTGCACTGGGGTGGTTGATGACAGGGAATCCAGCTGGATCAGACACTGACCCAGGCTTGGATGGATGGTGCTAGCCTGGGAGGGGCAGGTTAATAATAGCATCTCACTAGCCAGCAGCAGCAGGTTTTCTAGGGGGGAGCCCCTGGAGTGCACAGGCAGCTGCCAGGGTGACTTTGTGCCTGCCCCTCCCTGCCCACAGGTGTCCCCTGCCGAGAAGAACACCAGTGAGACGCTGTGCTCCCTGAAGTTTGCAGAGAGGGTTCGCTCTGTGGAGCTGGGTCCTGTCTCCCGCAAGGCTGAGCTGGGCTCCTGGACCAGCCAGGAGCACCTGGAGGTAATCGAGACACTGCTGGTGCCCTTCCTCCTCACCCCAGGGAGCCCCCTTGCTTTGCCCCCACATGTGGTCCCCAGAGCTGTTGGATGTTCCCCTAGAGCCACCTCCACTGGGGACAATCACCTGGTGGGATGCAGGTTGTCCCCAAAGTGCAGTGTCCGGCCAATGCTGCCACCTTGGCTGATTCAAGTCCTGTTTTGCAGCAGCCCCATGGTACCCCCTGAGAATATTTGGACACCACCATCCAGGCACACACTATCTGCCTGTGAGCCCATCCCCATTCCTTTCCCTCTGGGGCCTGGGCTGGGCTGACCCTGGGGCTGTGTCCCCTCTCCTCCCAGGGTGACTCGCCGGGTTCCACAGCACCACCTGGCCGAAGCCACACATCCCCCAGCCCGGGGCAGCTCTCCAGTCGCTCTGCCTCCATCCGCAGGAAGCTCCACACCTCAGGTGGGTGGTGGGACAGCTTGAGAGCCCAGACAGGGTCCCTCTGTCCCAGGAGGCTCCAGCCACCAGCCCATGGCAAAGCTTGCAACGGGGAGTGAGCAGCTCTGTAGTCAGTTCATTAGCTAATAGCTAATTAGCCATGGTCTATTAATTAACTTCTCCAAGAGTGCCCTGGTTTGAAGGCATTGCTGATGGCTTAGGTGGGGGGTAAGGGGAGGGCAATTCCACCAGGCTGAACCTCTTTCCCCTTTGATTTCAGCCTGACTTAGGGGCAGCCGTGGCTGCCAGGTGAGTGCCTGCGGCCGGTGCTGGTGGAGGGCTCTGCTTCACCCCGCTTCCCCAGGCAGGGCAGGGCTGCTGGACTGTGCAGGGTGCTCCTGGGAATGCTTGTGGTACCAGCTCCTGCTACAGTGCCACCAGACAGGGCTGGGGCACTGGTGGCTGTGCCCCTGCCTGCTGTAACCTATGCATGTCTCCCCTCAGGGAAGCTGAGGCCAGTCCCCCTGTGATGAGTGCCAGCCACGGCATCAAATCTACTGCAGGACCCAGCCACTCACAGTGACAGAGATGGCTGCTGGAAGACATGAAGGCTTTGGTGCCGGTCCCTTGGCCACCAGGACCCATGATCAGAGAGTGATGGCACCTCTCACCATGAGCAGCATGGGGGCAAGGGTGTCCCAGCAGCCAGCCCCATCCTCTACGGGTAGGGAACAGTGGTGCTGGGCAGAGATCTGCCCCCTCGGATGCTCAGCTCTGAGAGTTTATTTTTGCTGGACAGATGTTTTTTAGCCAGAGCAGGGAGCTGCTGGGAGCTGCTCCCTCCAGCTTTGCTTTTACAATGAGATCTGGCTGGAAGGGGTGCACAGAGCCAGACCAGCCCCTGGCCCTGCCTCTGCTACCGCCACAGGGCCAGCCTGGCCACAGCTCCTGCAAGACTGTGTTTGGGCAGCTGCCCCGTGTCTTCAGAGCAGCACTTCCTTCACGTTAAGCCACAAAAAATCCCAGCAGCTCCTGTCCCTGTCAGTTTCTCAAGCCCTGTTGTTGCATGAAGGCCCCTGGTGCTGTGCATGAGCCGAGCTGCTGTTCCTCATGGTGCTGGTGCTGCCAAGGCCCCACGCTGGCTGCCTGCGGTACATGGCACCAGGAGGGATGGAGCAGTCTCGAATGAAGCTATTGTAAAGTTATTTACCAGTTGTCTTGTCAAGAGAGATCACAGTGTGGTCGAGATGAAAGTGTTTGAAATATTTATACCTGTTTACACGGTCTTGGAATGGAAAACTAGTGGAAAACAAAAAGACCCCAAACCTCCAGCCCAAAAGCCTCTTGGCTTATGTATGGGGATGGTGGTTGGCAGGGGCATGGGAGGGGATGGCACTGCCCTTGGACCTCTCAACACCCACCTCTGGGTACATTTCCTCCTGCTGCAAACCCCTGCTGGATGCACTGATGGCTCTTTCCACCACAGCCCTCTCCTCTTGCGCTTCCATGGCGTGTTCTATTTAAAAACAAAAAAGGGAAAAGTAAATTTAACCTTTTGTAAGATTAGATGTTTCTATGTATTTTAATAATTAAAAAATATCCTGTTTTGTAACAAAACTTATTTTAAATAAACTCTTAAAGCCAGTCCTCCTGCACTGTGCCATTCTTGAACCCTGCTTGAGGTGGGGTGAGTGCTTCCTCCCTCCTCCCATCATCTCCCATAGGGCTGGAAAAGCCCATCATATCCTTCCTCTTGCAGCTGCCCCCGGGGCCAGCCTGGAAGCACAGTCCCCATCCCATTTTGCAGCTATCAGGCTCCTGTAATTAGCAGGAGAGCAGTGGTTAAATCCGAAGTGAGGCCCAATGCGCCCATGTCCTGCTCCACCTTGTCCTGCCCCACCTTACATCCCAACAACAGGCTGGTGGCTGGCAGAGCCTTTTCACACCTCATGGGGGTCCAGGCATGGGATTATCACCAGATAAAGCAGGAAGCAGCTGCAGAGCAGAAGGACACACACCCTGTGAGTGTCCTGGTGCTCGAAGCAGGCAGCACTCACCGTCAATCCTGCAGTGGTTCAGTGCCAGGGCCTCTTGCTGCACAAGCCACCTTTGGAGCCACCTCCTCCAGAGCCACGGAGCAGGACAGACACTCCCCTTTGTTCCCACAGCTTGACTGTTTGGATGAAGCATCAGCAATGTGGGCACTGTCTTTAGCTTCCCTGATGGCCCCAGTCCACCTCCCCAGAACAACCTTCCTAAGGCACTCCCTGGCTCAGGAGCTGAGGCAGCATTGCAACTCCACCCGGATCTGCTGGAGAGCTGCAGGAGGGAGATCGGTGTGCAGCCAGGGACAAGGACAAGCCCTAAATGATGACACTGCTCCTTGAGCTGGGAACGACCCAGCAGTGAAACCACCCACGAGATTTCCACAAGCCACCTGGCAAGTGCTGGCTCTCCCGTTGTTCACCACAGCCTCCCAGCAGGAAGGGTGAGAATGGTCAGCTTCCTCTGGGACAGGCAGGGAACAGAGCCCTGCTTTTCCTGGGCACTCCCAGCCAGGAGCCATGCCAAGGTGAAAAGCACTTCAAGAGATTCAGGCATTTAACACAACTTAAAAAAAAATTACAAATATTTTAATAAAATTCATTATAAGTTACAGATCCCTGGAGAACAAGCTCCAGTGTATAAAATGGGAGACAGGCTGGGAAGAGCAGGGAAAGCACCAAGAGGAACCTCTTTCCCCAGAGGAAAGAAGAAAGAGGGACAGAAAGGTTCTGACAGACATTTATTGGGGGGAAAAAAACGAAAAACAAACCTCTAAGAATGGTCCAGTGGATGTAGAAAGACATAACTCAGTCTATGTCCCTCTGTTCCTCCACCCTTCCAAATCCTCACCCCCAAGGCAAGCACATACGATGAGTCCTGTTTAAGTCACGTATTTTAACAGGTCCAGGTAGACCTCAGATCTGAGGACAGTCTGAAGATACTGGTCTTCTGCAGCCCTGGTGCCAGCAGGGATGTCTGAGAAGCCAAGAGAACATCTCTTGGCTCAGGTCCTTGAGATGCACTGGCACACTGGCACAGTGTCCTTGCCCATGTCAGATGAAGCCAAAGGGGCTGGTCCCCTATGGCAGTTGAAGTCCCTTCTGTATGAAAAGGGCATCCACCCCACAGCAGGCATTTGTGGGGCAGTAGCTGCAGTCCTCAGCAGCTGCACAGCGAGAGCAGGGCCCTGGCCCACAGGGCCAAGCAACAAGAACCGACAGCACAAGCGGGAAGGAGGGGTGACAGCAGGCTCAGAGCCCTCCTGCAGGGACAGGCCAGCACACAGAGCAGCCCAGAGCTTGATGCTGAGATGAAGAGCTGAAATGAAGCAGCTTCCCTACAGGGCTTTGTGGGGCCCTCCACCCACCAGGGCCCCTGACACAGCACACACGTCTCTCCACTCAGGTCCTCCATCCAGCCCGTAAGGCACCAGGGCTGGGTGGGCGACCAGCCAGGCAGATTCCACTTCCCTACCATGCTGGAGAGGGGCAGGGGGAAAAGATGGACGCACGGAGAGATCTGAAATCCAGCCAGACCACGAGCAGGGGAAGCTTGGCCACCTGTATTTGTACATGAGGAGGTGCTGGCTGTTAGTCCAGGACAGCCATGAGGAGAAGCAGCTCCCGAAAGGCACTACCATGGCGGCCGCTGAGCCCAGACTTGTTCTTGACAACGTTGCTGATGTTTTTCAGCTGCTTGTAGCACAACTTGCATTTCTGAAGCCTGGAAAAAAATAACAGTAGACACAGCATGAATCCTTAGTTGCCTGAGGTGTGGCTGTTCCTGCAGTGCCAGAGAGGCTACTCAAGCAGGAGAGAAAAGCCCTGAAAATGGCCTGGAAGTGGCTGAAATATGAGCACAGCTCTGCAAAAACACCAGCCCACGTCCTGATGAGACAGGAGAATGGCATCCACAAAAGGACTTTTTCACCCCTCTTCCCCCTTTGGCAGTACAGTCCAAGGAAAAAGGAGGTGCTGTTTTCCAAAAGCCAATTCCCAGAAAGAAGCTATGCTGTGAATAAACTCAAAATCCAGGGCCTGTCTACCAAATCGTGTTTCTTGTGAGGCAGAGAGGAAAGCCACAGGGTGGTTTTACTCCCGATACTTTGTTTAGGTATGACTCAACGCACAGAGGCAAAAGGAAAAGCAGTCCTTGGCCTTTTCCTCTGAGCAGCAGGGATTGGTGTTTGCAGACAAAGGGAAGGCATGTCCAGTCTGGTATCTGAGCCCTGACGACAAGGACAAAGCTCACCCAAGAGAAAGGCTGGTCCCAGGAAGGAAGTGAAAGGTGTGCCTCACCTTTCCTCTCTGCTGATGTCCACTCCAACAGAAGGTGGTGCAGCAAGGATGTCTGTGATGAGTGGCAGGAATCTCTGGAGAATGAGTTTCAGGGATGTGCAGCCAGTCTGCACGTAACTGAAAAACAGAGAATCGGGTCCCACTTGAATTTCATTCCTGTCCCCCAGCACACATCCCTCAAACAACTCCACTCTGCCACCTGCAACCAGGGAAGGAGAGCAACACATCTGAGTTCCAAAGCTTTGACAAAGCAAGCCTGTCCCAAAGGTCCTGGCACATACCCCATCCAAGTGGGACCTCTCTGCTAAAGGGCAGAGATGTCCTGCCAAGGGAACTTGGCAGGAGCCTCTCTCCCAGAAGAAAGGAAGAGCAGAAACTCCATCTTAAGAGAGACTGCAATTTTTTCCCCCTAAAGATATGAGTCCCCAGGCTGTTGCAGGACTTCATTCCTCTTGTCCTAAGCTGAAGGCTTCACTCCCAGCAGTGTGCAAAGCCCATTTGTTTTAAATGACCCCTCCTAGCTGCCAGAGCTGTCTTAAATCTAACACACCTCAAACAAATATCACTATTCTGCTCTTCCTGCCCATGCATACTTACTGTATCTCTTCCCACACACACCTGGCAACTCCATCATTCTTTTTCAGGTGTCATACCAGCATGATACAGTATCCGCAGTGATTTCTCAGGATTTTCCTTCAGGTACAAAACACTCAGTACAGCTCCCCCATCACTACCTACATCCAGTCCCCCAAGCACACCATGCTCTTGAGGCCTCACCTTTCATATTTACTTTGGAGTAGTTTTTCTATCTGTGGCAGGACTATAGTACACAAATCCAGCTTCCAGAGAGACCTGAAAAGAAAAGGACACATCCTGAGACTGGAAACTGAGGCTTTACAAAGCTGAGCCTACACAAATAAGACTTCCTGGCAAATGCCCAGGCAGACAGAGACACTCAAGTTCACAGAACAAGTTCACTGACTCCCCCTCGTGAGAGAAGGTGGCAGGTTCGGACATATTTCTTTGACTCTCAGCAGAATCATTTTATGAAGTCCCAAGACTTTGATTTTCCTTGGCCCCAAATAACTCCAGCAGTTACTGTCACTGCAGGCTTGAAGATGTGACTACAAGCACAAGAATTTCATGCTGCCACGGCCCCCCAGCTAGGGGCTCTTGCACATCCCAGAGGCTGACCCTATCCAGGACTCACGCTTTTTGGTTGACAATATTCAAGAGATCCACGACAACAGACAGATCATTGATTGCCACCGCAGAGTCCAGAGAGTTCTGAGAGAGAAGGGGAAAAAAAAGTCATTTATTGCAGAGGTCAAACTGGTTAGGCTAATGCAAATTAGTATCTAGTACTGCTTTTCCAAAACAAGGTAGAGGACACAAAGTTGGCCAGGGAAGAGAACTGTCTCACGAGAAAGTTTCCTCCATGTCTCTTTGTGACCATTCAGCTGCAGCACTCTGTGGTGCATCCCTGGGGACAAAAGCTGTGAGACCCCGTGTTTTGTATGAGGCAGAATCAGCCCCAGGGAAGCAAAGAGAGCTGCTCAGCTGCTCCCCTCATGAGCCTCAGGTATTGTCCACATGCTTGCCTTGATGTCACTGGTGCTCCATACAGCCCGCACGGCGTCCAGGTTCTTGTGGCGGCTGGTGAGCACCACACACATGGTCTCGTGGCCTTTCCTGATCTGGGACATGGCCTCCTCATCCACCAGCTCTGCCTGGCTTTGGTTTTTCACAGCCTGCAAGTACAGACACCAATAACAGAGCACGATGGCACAGAAGGGTGGGAGCGTTCTCTGGCCTAGGTGAGAGCCAATTTTAGTGCAGAGAATGTCTGTGAAAACCATTTGAAATGGAAATGCTCAATTTGTTCTGATTTCAGTTACTTATCTCCTTTTTCTATTACGTCTATCCCAAACATCTTCAAAGTTTTGGAAAAACTCTCAAAAAAGGTGAATT